GGACCACACATCCGTTAGGATACTCCAGGTCCCGCTCTCATTCCTGTCCCCACCTGGGTATCCATGACGTCCAGAACGAGGGTCCCTACCTGAGACGAAGGTCACCCATATCTGCATGCCCCAGGCCCCGGACAAGACCAGCAGATGGACCACCTTAGTCAGGCTTGCCGGGTTCCCGCCTTCCTCCATCCTGCAGGCCTGGGAAGGAGGTACCGGGTGGCTCAGAGCTTTACCTTTGGCCTTCAGCCCCTGGGAGCCTGCGCAAGGCCAGGGTCACCGCCAATCCAGCAGATATGCAGGAATGGCAGCCCAGGAATAGGGGCCGGCCCTGCGACAACCCGACCCCATCTCTCTCAATGTCAGCCCTCAAGCTCTCAGACTCTCTGGACCCCAACATCCATGCCATCTCCGACACCCCCAAGTTTCAGCCCCACCAGCTCAAACTCGTAGCCCTAGAGCTCCTGAGATCACCTCCGTGACTCTCAAATATCACCTCGGGGTTCCAGTTCTAACAGCAAAGACTCCTGCTCCCATAACAAGATCCAGATATCTATATGAAGGTCCCCAAAGCACCCCGGCTCCATCTAATGCTGGGAAACCCCCAAATCTCATCCCGAAGACACCATCCCGCCAGTAGGAATCGGACTTCAACCCGCAATACCCAGGCGTCCGAGACCAGAGGCGCCGAGGCCAATCTTGGGGGCCAGCGGGCTGGGCTCGGTACTGCACTCCCGGGATCCCCACCACCTCTCCTCGTGGGACCGAGAACTCGTCCCGCCTCCCAGCTGAACCCGAAGCCAATCTAATCGTAATCTGCTGCCTCCTGTACCGCCCCATTGGATAGGGACTAATCGATTAGCAGAAACCGGCCTGAAGCCCCGCCCCCTCTCCGGGATTTTACTCAATTACACGGCGGCTCCCAGCGGAAGCGGGAAGGCGCCAATGAGGCCTTGGGTTGCAACGGAGGGGTCGGGACTAACGTGCCAGCCACGCCCCTCTCTGTGACTCCGCGTTTAGGCTCCGCGCGTTTTAAAGTGATGGTGTCCCCACAGGATCAAATTTCAGCGTCACAGCTGGGGACTGGCTTCGCGGTTCCTGATGGGAGAGCATGAGCAGGTGCTATGTGGTAGGTGGGGGTGGGAAGGGATCGGAAGCCTGTGGGGCGCAGGATTCAAGGCCCGGGGGGCGGGGCCCAGGTTAATGACACCCCGCCCTATCCCCAAGAATTCTCCCCGGAGGAACTTAGAGAGGAACGACTGATGTGGGAGGGGCAGGGGGTTCTGCTTGCAGGTGGCACTCAGAAACGGGTCTTCCCTCTCCTCCAATCCTCTCAGGGCTCCTATATGATTCCCAGGTCCCAAGTTCTCAGTGTGACATTCAAGGACATGCACTGAGTTTCCCACTACTGTGTGCTCAGCACTGGCATGGATTAATCTACTTAATCACAGCAACTCAACGATGTGGTAGCGAGATCCCGTTTTTAGAGTTGGGGACACTAAGGCATGGGGAGGTTCAGTAACTCTTCCAACACCACACAGCTAGGAAGGGGCAGGGCTAGGACTTGAGCCCACACCATCCAGCCAGAGGGCGTCCACTGCCTCTTGTGTGAAGACCGAATGAGTGCTGATGGTGGTGCCCGGCGCTCAGTGAGGTACTCAGAAAATAGGAGCTTAAAAATGGATCAAGGGCCCTGGCCCATGTGGCTCAGTTGGGTGGGCATCCTCCCGTGCACTGAAAGGTTGCGGGGTTTTCCCTGTCAGGGCACAGGCCCAGCTGTCGGGTTTGATCCCCAGTAGGGGTCATGCAGGAGGCAGCCGATCCATGTTCCTCTTTAACATCAATGTTTCTCTTTCTCTCTCTCCCTTTTCCTTCCTCTCTCTCTAAAAATCTATTAAAAAGGATTAAGGGTCCTGGTCGGTGTGGCTCAGTTGGTTGAGCATGTCCCATGCACTAGAAAGTCAGCGGTCCCCGTCAGGGCATGTGCGGGGTTGTGGGCTGGATCCCCGCTAGGGGTCATGCAGGAGGCAGCCGGTTGATGCTTCTCTTTAACATTGGTGTTTCTCTCTCTCCCTCACCCTTCCTCTCTCTCTCAAATCAGTAAAGACATTAAAAAAAAAAAACGGATTAAGGAAACTTTTACAGAACAGATGCTGAATAGGGTTTTGAAAGGTGCACAGCAGTCTTCTAGGACTGGGCAGAGGAAGGACACTAGAGGAATCAGAAAGGCCTGTAGATCGTGGCCTTTCTGTCTGAGTGTAACCCAAGGCAAGATCCCCTGCACCGGGAAGTTTTTCCAGACAGCTTTGTCCCACATGACTCCACCTGTTCCCAGCCCCACTTAGCAGGGGCCCGGGCCCCCATTCAGCTAATACTGATTGAATAGATGTGCCTTGCCTCCCCTGTTCATACACGATGGCTCCCATTTATCTGGGAACCAGGTCCAAACTTCTCTGCTCGGCTTTCAATGCCTTGCTTGAGCTGCCCTGCTAATCTCCTACTGTTTCCTCTTGGACTCTGCCTCCAACTGGCCTGAATTTATCATCACAGAGCACATGGTTCCACACCTCCAAGCTTTGGTACATGCTCTTTCTTTTCTTTTTATTTTTCTTTTTAAAGAATAGTTTATTGATTTTTAAAAAATATTTTATAAATCTACTTTTTATTGATTTTAGAGAGGGAGACGGAGAGGGAGAGAGAGATAAAAACATCCTATATCATAGAGGTAATATGCAAATTGACCCTCACTCCATCATGCCATCACAAGATGGCTGCGCCCACAGTGGAGGCGGGGTTCCCATAACGAACCATAATGAGTGATCAGCAGGGACCTGAGGCTGCATGGCACCAGGCCAGGGCGTGGGACCTGAGGCTGTGCCCCCACCTGGTGGGGCTTGTCAAGGACCTCAGGCTGTGCCCCCTCACCCAGTGGGGCTTGATGGGGGACCACAGGCTACACCCCCTGCCCAGCAGGGCTTGATGGGGGACCTCAGACCAGGCCTCCGGCTCCAGAGGGCTTGAAGGGAAACCTCAGGCTGCGTCCCCCACCCGGCGGGGCTTGACAGAGACCTCAGGCTGCACCCCCATCCCAGTGCCAGGTTGGGGGATCTGAGGGGGAACTGGGGGATCTGAGGCTGCACCCCCCACCTGGCACCAGGCTGGGGGACCTGAGGCTGCACCCCCCACCCAGCGGGGCTTGACAGGGGAACTGAGGCTGCATCCCCCGCCTGGCGGGGCTGGCCAGGTCTGGATCTCTTGCAATTTCAAGGTGCACGCAGGTGGCCGGGGACTTGACTCTGGGTCCTGTGGTATGCCCCAGACTCTGACAGGAGTAAGGTTTTCATATACATTTTACCATTTTTCTTTCATCTCTGACACTTCTATTATAGAGAAAGGGCAAATAGCAATATTAAAATATATCCTCTAATAATTCCCTTTAATGTGCACGAATTTTGTGCACCAAGCCACTAGTCAATGATAAGAGAGAATCGTTGATTGGCTGCCTCCTACATGCCCCCTGCAAACTGGGGATCTAGCCTGCAACCGGGGCATTTGCCCTGACCAGGAATCTAACCAGAAAGCTTTTGGTGCATGGGACAACGCCCAACCAACTAAGCCACACAGGCTAGAGTTGCACATGCTGTTTCCTACCAGGACCCAATGTTAAGATTTTTTTTCTTTCTTTTAGACTCTTCTGAGACCTCACTTTCTCCTGTGGGGTCTTCTGGGTCCTTCTCACTGCCCATCCCAATCCCTGGGGCTGGGATCATCTCTTATCCTGTTCCTACCATAGTTGGAGGCCCTGTGTTCAGGGCTGAGGCCTCTGTGAGGTGTCAGGGAGGGTCTGGCAGTGTCGGGACAGGGGGGCTGGTCTCAGTGCAGCCCCCTGTCCTGTCCTTCCTACTTGAAGCGACCCTGTTCTGGCCGGCCTGCCCCGAGACTCTGACTACTCTCTGCCCTGCTACTGCTCATCTCCGTCGCCCTCCAACTTGTGTTCGCTTGACCACAGCAAGTGTGACAAGTACTGGGGTTTGTTGAGGGGCTGCTCCAGAGCTGGGGAGCTGGGAGGGGCTGAGTGCTCGGGGCTGGCCCTCAGGAAGCCCGCATTCACCTACCCCCAGGTACTTCCTCAGACAAGAACTTGGACTATACGATTCACTGGTCCAGCACTCCAGAACCAGAGGCCTCGGGGCCAGCTGCTTCAGAGAACACAGTGACAATTACAGACTGGAAGCCAGGGAGGGACTCAGGGCCTCCGTCGCCTGGGTCTCCCCACTCCCCCAACTCAGACTCACAGGAATGCTGTAATGACCAGGAACTTGTGAAGAAGCATCCGAGTATCACTAAGGTTACCCACACCCTGGAACCCCCTTCCTGCTGTCCCACAATCTACTGCTGCAGGGCTTGGTTGGGGGGACAGGGAGGTCCGCAGCACCCAGAACACCTCCCAGTGCTCAGCAGGCCTGCAATGAATATGTCTTAATGGACGAGGGAATGAGTGGAATGGATGTGGGATTGTGTGTTTTCGTGGAGTCTTTTCTGTAATTGTCTCTGGGTATGACTGCCGGTGTGTCTGTGTCTGGTTATGTATCTGAGATGAGTGTACATGGATGCCCTGGGTCTTATGACTTGGAGTGCGTGACCGTGTTTGAGTTTATGTAGCTGTGGTTGTTCTGGGATTACGCACGGCTATGTGTCTGTGCTATTGGTGCTGCCTGCAGACACTGTCAATGTCGTTTGCCCCTGAAGAGGAGGGCCGTTTTCTGAGCCCAGTCCAGAGAGAGGACTTTGCAGGTGCATGCTGTCGGGGGCAGCCCAGAGGCCCACCCATGTTGGGTACAAGCCACAGAAGTGCACTTCTGAGCATGTGCGGATATGCCTGCACTCAGGGTCTGGGACACCCAGAACTCAGCAGATTCAACTCATGTCCAAACACTGGGTTGGGGGGAGCAAGGAGGCAGCCCAGGGATGAATTTCTACTGCCCTCATGTTCCCCCATCCTAGAAACCACTGGAGACCAGCTCTTCGAAAATCAAAGGTGAGAGCCCTCCCTCCTAACAAGGCTGTGTGTGCAAGACCTGCTGCTTCCTTCTTCCACCCTCTGCCCCAGCCTCTGTGGACCCCTGCCATTGCTGCCCGCTCAACCCTGCCCCAGCATCAGCTGCCTCTTGCCCCTGACCTTGCCCTCTATCCCAGTCCCTGATCTTGACCCCCTACTCCAGCCTCTACCTCAGGCTCTGTGATCCCTGCTCCCGACCTTGCCCCGGCCCCCACCCTTCCCAGCTTGGCTGACCCACACTTCTGCTCATAGGTAAGTCCACCATGATGATTCCTGACACCCAGAAGCTCCTGCGATGCGAACTGGAGTCACTCAAGAACCAGCTACAGGCCCAGACGAAGGTTAGCCTCCTCAGCCAGCCCTGGGCCCAGCAACCTCTGTCCCTTTCTCCTCCCCACCCTGCCTCCAGGCATGACCTCTTCCCCGACAGGCTTTTGAGTTCCTAAATCACTCAGTGACCATGTTGGAGAAAGAGAGCTGCCTGCAGCAAATCAAGATCCAACAGCTTGAAGGTGAGGATTGGCCTGAGGTCACGGTCAGGCCGGAGGCCGTCAGGGTCAGCTGGGTCAGAGTGAGAGCAGTGGGTGAGTCTGGATTCAGGCTTGGGTTCCAGCCAGGCTAGGGCGAGTGGGTTCAAAGCTGTGCGTGGTGTGATGGGGCCTCAATCAAGCTCCCACTGTTTCTGAAGGAGTCCTGAACCCCACGAGCCAGCAGACAGAGGGGAAAAAATGGGACCTGGATCAGGGACAGCGGGAGCTGTATGCGGCCCTGGCGCAAGGCCTGAAGGGGCTACAGAAGACTCTGCGGGAGAGTGAGGAGGTGCAGAAAACCCGCACTACCCGCTACCTGCAGCTGCTGGCCCAGGAGATCCGAGACAGGTGAGTGTGCCAAGGGGGGAGGCCTGGAGGCTGTGGGAGGGAAGAAAGCCCAAGATGGGGAAAATAGGGGAGGCCTGAGTAAGGATGATGGGGGGCCATGGAAGGCTTAGAGGACAAGAGGAGCGGATGATAGGGGCGAAGACAGGTTGCAGTGTTTGTGTGTGGGGAGACTGGGAGCCCAGAAGGCAGGGAAGACAGGAAGCTGGAGGTAGGATGGGAAGGAGGTCGGAGGATCAGGGAACTGGGGGGTGGAGAGGTTGATGGGGGCTGAGGCTGGGAATATGGGAGGTCAGGGGTGAGGAAGGTAGAGAGATGGAGGCCAGGCAATAGGAAGCTGAGGGAATGGGAGGCTGGAGGTCAGGAGGAGAGGACTGGGGCTGAGGGAGGAGAGGTGGGGGAATGGTAGTTGGAGGGTAAAGGTAGGTGGCAACTTGGGGAGGGTTGGAACCTGGGGGAAATGGGTGGTTGAACAGATGGGAACATGGGAGGCGGAGGAGGTTTGGAGAGGCAGGTGGGAAAATTGTGAGACCAGGAGGCCAGGGACTGGGCACGGGCTGTGGGCCTAGGCTGCACTATCCCCTCAGCAAGAAATTCCTGTGGGAGGAGCTGGAGCTGGTTCGGGAGGAGGTGACCTTCATCTATCAGAAGCTCCGTGAGTGCCTGGAGCCCACGGCGGTGGGGGGAAGGGTGGGGGTGTCCTTCTGCTGCCTGGCCTCCCTGAGCCCCCTCCCCTCACAGAGGCACAGGAGGAAGAGATCACCGAGAACCTGGTGAACATCCAGAAGGTGCAGAAGACCCAGGCAAAGTGCCGTAAGGTGAGAGGGGAGGACAGGGACTCCACATGGGTTGGGGACATGGGGATCTCTGCTGGCCTCCACCATTGGACTGGAGCCAGAAGGCCTGGACATAAATCTCAGCTCTGCTACTTACTGCTGTGTGACTGTGGGCAAGTTTCTTCACCTCTCTGGGCCTCATTTTCCTCTCCTGTGTAATGGATAAAACACACACATCCCTACCTGAAGGGGTAGCTGCATGAACTGAGGACAGCCTAGCATGTAATGGTCACCTTGCACCGTCATTTTATTACTACTGCTCTTCTCTCTTCCCCCCTACCCCTGTCGGAGCCCCAGGTCTTGACCAAGATGAAACAACAGGGGTGTGAGACAACCAACTGGCTGGAGACAGAAGAGATGCCATCAGGAGGCAATGGCTCTTGGAGGAGTGACCTCCAGAAGGAGCTGAGTGACATATGGTGATGCCCAGGCCCCACTCTGACCTCTGACCCCTGACCCTCATCTGCCCTGCCCTGCCCCCAATCTGATCAAACAGTGACCACCAGAACCTAGAAGCCATCTGAGTCCAGACCTCCATCTCCAAGCAGTACTCCCTTCCTCCTCTGCCCCCCTAACAACCCCGTGCCCCAGCCTCAGGCAGTCCAGAGTCACTTGGGGGCCCCAGCTCCCCATCTTCCTGCAGGTCCGCCGTGCATACGCTTCAGAACTCCTTTGATGGCCTCACCATGTCCTCGGGAATCCGCCCCAAGACTGGGAGCCTCCGGGGTGAGAGGGACTGAGCCATGCTCCAGGGTGGGTGGGGTCATTCTCCAGCTTCACACATGAGGTCATGTTCAGAGGCCATATTTGGAGGTCACATCTGTTGGGTTTCATTTTTTTAAATATATATTTTTATTGCTTTCAGAGAGGAAAGGAGAGGAAGAGAGAGATAGAAACATCAATGATGAGAGTGAATCATTGATCGGCTGCCTCCTGCATGCCCCCCACTAGGAATCAAGCCCAAAGCTCAACCACTGAGCCATGTCAGCTGGGCGGGTTTCATTTTCTTAATAATATTTTTTCATTGCTTTCAGAGAAGAAGGGAGAGGGAGAGAGAGATAGAAACATCAGTGATGAGAGAGAATCATTGGTTGGCTGCCTCCCTCATGCCCCCTACTGGGGATTGAGCCAGCAACCCAGGAGGAACTGCCACCCTCCTGGTTCATAGGTTGACGCTCAACCACTGAGCCACACCAGCTGGGCCACATCTGTTGGATTTTAATCTGGGGTCACATTAAGGAGTCCCTGGAGGTTTCATCTAGGGGTCACTCAGGGTCACCTGGATGTTTTTCAAGGGTCATTGGTGTAAAATTTAAGTGTCACATTGGGTCACATTCAAGGGACATGATCAAGGGACCCTGGTTCAAGGGTCACATTCAGGGTTCATGCATGGAGAGCCAGAATGGCACCTGTCCCTGCAGGCTACAAGGGGCACAGATGCCTGAGTCCTCCGCTTCACTCTTGGGACTCGGACTCGGACTCGGACCAGAACCCTTCCCAGCCACCCTTCAACAAAAGCCGCTCTTTCCCACCAGGTGTGGCTCCTCCCCTGCTCCGCCCACCTTGCCCCTCCTGACCAGCCCTGGAATCCCACAGTATGGACCCTCCCAGCTCCCAACCTGGGCTCCTGCACCCTGACTGCCACCCCTGGGTCCCCTGGACCAGACCTGGCCCTTACCCATCCTGTCTCCCCACAGCTTGAGCAGCCGGGTTGCTCTCCACGAAGACCCCTCCAGAGAGAAAATAAACTAGCCGAGACCCTCCTCCACCTGTGGACTGTTGCTCCTGCGGCCTCCATGCCTGAGAATGAGCCACCCCCATTTACTCGCCAGTGTTGGGGCGGGCATGGCGATCCCAGGGGTTGTTGGGGATGTATGAACTTAGGGTCAGAGTACAGTGCGAGGCCAGATTAGTATATGACAAGTCCTGGGTTGCTCTGTCCAGATATGAGTGGCTGGACAGGCGGTTTCACCCTAGCCACCGGCCTTCCTTTCCAGGGGGCTTTGGCGATCTGGCCCTACTGCCCAAATGGGGAAACCGAGGCCCAGAGAGGGAGCGTGGTGGCCCAGGTCATGCTCTGACACTCCGCCCTCCTCTTGCCCTCAGCGCCTACCCTCACCCAGAGTCCTCCCTCTTTTTTTTTTATTTGTTTACTGTACACTAAAATTAAGGTACTTGCTCTTTTAAAAAAAAATTTTTATTGATTTCTCAGAGGAAGGGAGAGGGACAGAGAATCAGTGATCGGCTGCCTCCTGCATGCCCTCACTGGGGACTGAGCCCGCAACCCGGGCATGTGCCCTTGACTTGAGTCCGCAGGCAGATGCTCTATCCATTGAGCCAAACCGGCCAGGGCCAGAGTCCTCCCTCTTAACCTCCATCTTTCATTTCCCTTCAATCTACTCTAACACGCCCCGCCCCGCCCCAAACAACCGAGGCTCCGCCCAGATCATGCTAATAAGATGTCTCAATACCCCGCCCACTGTGTTATGCAAATAAGGCTCCCGAGGCCACGCCCCTCGCTCCTTCGCGGAGTCTGCGCGGCGCAGAGCCGGGGCGACAGCATCTCCATTTGTGCGTCCACCCGCCCGCCCGCCAGGCCAGCAATCGGTCCGTCCGGCCGCGCTGGTGACGTTTAGGCGGACCCGGAGCTCAGGTGGCAGAGCCTCTACCCGGTGAGGGGGAGGGGCCTGAAGTGTCCCTTGTAGCCCTTCTTTCGGGCTTCGACCCTCGGTCTCTGTCTGGTCCGGGTTCGGATCCTGTGGGTCCGGTCCCCTGCGGGTCCAGCGTGGGAAGGGGGAGGGGAAGCGAGGAGCTTGGGGACCGGGCTGGGAGGGGGCATAGGAGGGGATCTGGGCTTGAGAAGCCAAGAGGTAGTGGTGAGGGTGACTGGGATTGTATGGCTGTAATGATTGTCAGTGTGTGGTTGTATAACTGTCATTTTGTGTCTGTACAGCTGTGATTGTGTGGCTTCTGAAGTGTGTGTGGTGTGTGTGTGACTGTCTCCTGCGGCTGTCATTGTGTGCTCTCATCGTGGCTATCACTGATGGTGTGTGTGTGTGGCTTTGTTGTGATGGCTGTCACTGTGATTGTGAGTCCGTGTGGTTGTGTGCATGTGACTGTCATTGTGTGGCTGCTGTTGTGTGTTGCTTTTAATGGTGTGGGGGGCATTTTTGCATTCTAATGCGTGGCTGTGGCTCTGTGTGAGTCTGTCATGGTCCATGTATGTGCCCTGGTGTGGCCATGTGGCTGTGGCTGTGGATAGCACGGTATCTCCCATGACAGTCGACATGGATGAGAAGTGTTCATGTGTGTGGTTGTCACTGAATTCCATGTAACTGGGGGTGTGACACTGTGACCGGTTCAGTGACCCCCCCATTGTGTATGGTGACTCTCTTTTTGGTGTTGCTCCTAAGTGTGTTGGCAGCCCTGAGCCCACACCCCTGAGGGGCGAGTGCTCACGTGGGGCTGTGAGGGGCTGTGAGGCGTGTGGAGAGCCTCCCGTTGTGTCCCTGTGCCTGTGCTGGGGGGGAGTTGTTTGATCTGTGTGGGTGTCCGTGACAGGCTGTGTGCACATTGTGCCGTGTGCGTGTGTGGAGTGTGTGCATGAGTATGCAGTTATGCGTGTGGTGGGTTGTGGTGGGTGTTGGGCACCTGTCTGAATGAGTGGGCCTGTCTTGTTCACCACAAGGCTGGCACCCAGTACAGTGCCTGGAACACAGCAGGCACTTGGTCCATGGTGGTGAGATGGGCGAATGCTGGGCCATGGTGTGTGGGGGGTGGGGGTGGGATGGAGGCTGTGGCTGAGTTGTGTACTCTGGGGGTACAGTGTGGTTGATTATGTCTCTGGGAGGGTGAGGGGGCTGTGGCCAGAGAGACATCTGGGACCTTTAGCAACCTTCATCCCACATGTTACACTGAAGAGCAAGCCTTGTGGATGGAGCACTGGACCCAGAGTGCCTACCCTCACCTGCCTGCGCCTCAGTTTCCACATCTGTGCAATGGGGGTGACCATCACTGCCCTGCTGGTGGCCAGGAACGGCTGTGAGTCCACGGGCGTGGCAGCCACCTGTGGGAAGTCATAGGGCTCTTTCACAGGTGAGGCCCGCCTGGGAGAATGGGTCAAGCAGGTGTGACCCTGTTAGTGCTTCACTGCTGGGGTAGTGGGAGCATGTGGTGGGAGATGGCGCCCTAATGATACAGGGAGGTGATGGGCTGGAAGAAAGTAGAGAGGGAGAGGCAACTGGGAGAGAAGTAGGGCCTGGCCATCAGCCACGAACCATAGGGACATGGGAGACGGGGCTCAGGAGAAGGGCCTGGCAGGAGTGGGGGACGTGGAGCATGGGGTCCCCTGTAAAGCATGTGGGGAAAGAGGATGGGGTTCTCTAAAAACTGGTGGGTGTGAGAAACCTTCTAAATGGATCCTTCTCCGTCGTGGAGGTATCCCTGTTAAGTTGGAGAATTCTCTTCTCAAGGCCGGGGGAGGGGGGGTGTCCTGCTTAGTAAGGAAGAGAGTCCCTCCTAAAACGTATGGGGTCAGAATCTCCTATGTAGGTTATGGGAGTGAAGACCACTAGAGGATCTCTGGGGTTCCCCCGCCAGCAGGCTGAGCTGAGCAGGTTGTCAGAGGAGGCTAGTGTCTCCAATGGGCAGGAGCAGGGCTGAGCCCTGGCTATGCAGAGGCATGGCCAGGGGACTCCAGGGCCTGTGACCTGAGCGTCCCCCTAGGCCCCACTCTGGCCAACCCATTTCCTCCCACTTCCACAGGCCCAGGCCTTCACCATGGCGGGAGGGAGACCTCAGCTCAAGAGGAGTTTCTCCATCATCCCCTGCTTTGTCTTCGTGGAGGTGAGGTGTCCAGTACCTCCTTCCTTCCCTCCGTGGGGAGGGGGTGTACCTGTCTTTCTGTCCCCTCTCCGTGTCCCTCATCCTGGCCAGGTCCCTTCCTGGCCCTGATTTTCCATCTACCTGGTTCCAGGCCTGCCTTCTCTCTCCCCATCTCCTCCTTCCTGTCTCGGGCTTTATGGGCTTGGACTCAGAAGTAGCACTTCCAGGGTTCCAATCGCACTCTTCACATCCTTACTTTTGGACTCTGGGCATCTCATATATCCTCCTGAGCCTCAATTTCCTCTTCTGTCAAATGGGCATATTTAGAAGGTAAAATGTATTCACTGACAGAAGAGTTATACCTGTGGTAGTTGCTAGTCCTACCCGTAATATTAATTCTTCCCTGGTGATCTATCTGTCACTCCCCCACCCAGTCTCTATATCTCTCTGGTCAGATCTTAGCCGTGTCCTCACTCTCTCTCCCAAATCCCATTCCCTCTTTTCTTCTCTCTCTAGTCTACTGTTCTAGCCCCTTCTCTTTTTCTTCTTTGCCTTTTCTCTTTCTCTTTCTCCTTCTCTTCCCTCTTCTCTCCTCTCCCCTCTATTTCTGTCTTCTCTTTCTGTTTCCATCTCCAACTCTTTTCTCTGTCTCCCAAACCCTGACACTTCTCTGGCCCCATTCCCCACCCCTCTCTCTTTCACTCTTTTCATCTCCCTCTGTCTTGGTCACTCTCTGTTTCTCTCCCCCTTTTCTCTCTCTGTCTCTCTCTGTGTGTGTGTGTGTGTGTGTGCTCTCTGTTTGTATTCAATCCCATCTCTTCCAGCTGATCTAGTGCCTGAATAGCGTTGGACCTATCCACATGGCCCTGTACCCTACGTGTGTGTGTGTGTGTGTGTGTGTCTGTCCATGTCCCCAGTTCAGGCCTGACCTTCTCTCTTTTTCTCTCTGTCTCTCTCCATCTCTCTCTCCGCTCTGGCTGGGTGGCAGTCTGTGCTGCTGGGCGTGGTGGTCCTGCTTGCATACCGCCTGGAGTTCACGGACACCTTCCCGGTGCACGCCCAGGGCTTCTTCTGCTACGACAGTACTTATGCCAAGCCCTACCCGGGGCCCGAGGCTGCCAGCCGGGCACCTCCTGCCCTTATCTATGCTCTGGTCACCGCTGGGCCCACCCTCACGGTGAGACTGGGGGGGTAGCCTTGGAAGACGGTGGGAGGCCCTCCCAGGAGGCAGGAGGGTCAGGGGGAGGTGGCGAGGGCTGGGCTTGAAGGCCAGGAAGACCCTGTTTTGGTCTCACCCACAGATCTTGCTGGGGGAGCTGGCCCGTGCCTTTTTCCCCGCACCACCCTCAGCCATCCCCATCATCGGGGAGAGCACCATCGTGTCTGGGGCCTGCTGCCGCTTCAGCCCCCCACTGAGGAGGCTGGTCCGCTTCCTGGGTGAGTGACAGGGCCAGGGCTCAACCGGGCAAAGGGATATGGGCCAGGCTCAGCCATCATCAGGATTCCAGCGGGAAAGGGGCCTAGAACTGTCATGATGGTCAGAGGCAAAAGGCACTTGGGCCCAGGCCAGACATGATGGAGGTTTTAGGGACATGGATGGGGCCTAAGCCAAGGCGGCAACTGTAAGAGGAGGCCCCAAATTGCCACAGGGAGATTCTCAGTCAGAAAAGGGGGACACCGTGGGGCCCCAGGGAGATGAGACCTCAGCTGTGCTGTAAATGTAGTCCCAGCCACAGACGGTGGTTGTGGGGACAGGAGGCAGCATAGCTCATCCATGACGGTGGTCCCCGTGGCCGAGGGCCGGCAGTTCAGCTCTGGCTCATTGGTGACCCAGAAGAAAAGTGAGAACTCGGTCACAGCGGGTCCAGGGCAGATATAAAGAGGCCCAGAAATGCCATCAGGAGGCTCCCAGGGGTCCCAGGCATAGGTCCCATGCTGACGTAA